CTCCATTGCTCTGAAGCAAACATGGTCCTCAAGGCACTTTTTTGCTTGGCTAGGCTTCGAAGAGTGAGAAATGATGTGGCAAATCTTGTGATACCCGGTCTCACTAATTTTCTCTTCTTTGTAGAAGACCTCATCATGCTTAGGACTATGGTGTGATTGTAAATAAATCTAACAAACATAGCTCTTGAAATCACCCCACTAAATAAAGATGTTGTACCCATTTCCTTAAGCATAAGATTAACACAGTGAGCTGTACAAGGTGTCCAAAACATATGCTTCCTTTTCAAAGTCAAGAAATGCCCGGTTGCAGCATAGTTGGCACCATTGTCAGTGATAATTTGTACCACATTTTTCTCCTCAACAAAATCGACAATCTCATCCATCAAGCCAGATAAGTATATACCATCATGTGACTTGTCTGATGCATCAATAGACTTAACAAAAAAAGTACATGTTGGGCAGTTAACCAAAAAATTAATGAATGCCCTTGATTTCCCATCGAACCAACCATCACACATAATAGTGGCCCTATATTTCTCCCACCCTTCTCTCTGAGAAATCAAAATTTTATTCACATCAAATATAACATCCTTCAACAAGGGCTCCCTAACCTCATGTAGTGAAGGTAGAATAAGTCCTGGGCCACCCAATTGCCTGGACCATATATGCAAAACTATCAAGAGTTATAGTATTAAAAGGAATGCCGGCCATGTAAATCCCCTTTGCAATCCACTTACATACCGACTTTCTTTGTTCTTTCTTATATTTATTGTCAGTTGTGGTTTGTTTTGTTTTTTTCTTTCTCTCCTGAACCACAATTTCGGGGCTAGGGGTGAAAAAAGAATCCATTGGCCCCTTAGAGAGAGGTGTTCTTCTCTCAGTACTACTATCAGTATTTATAACCCTCTCTCTAGAGGTTGGAGTATGAGTACCCCTTTGCCTCATAGCAACTTCAGACATATCATTGTCATCATCATCAACATCATCAACATCATCAAATAATTGCATATCATCAAGTAATTTCTTTCTTTTCTTTTTTTTTTCTCTTTATCTTTTTTCAATCGATCCAAATATTCTCTAATCTCCGTTTTTATATCATCTGTAGCTTGTGGGCATGCTCTTACATTCCCAGAAATTCCGGCTAAATGCTCTTTTTGTCGAAAAATACCACCCATATAAGTATTTCCACAGAGCAAGCATATCACACAATTTCTATCTTTCGGATTTTTTAGTTTAGCATATTTCCAAGCCGGATCCTTGTTACTAGAAGATTGGGAAGAAGACATTGCCCCAAAAATAAGTATAACAGTATTATTGTACAAGAAGGAATAAAAAGTTACCGACTCTGTGAAGTAGTGCTCGATTTCTTCACGGCCTCTGAAATCCCCAATTTCTTATCACAAATTCACCTTAACATCCCCAAATCAACAATAAAAGGCATCAAATGAACATCCAAGTATCAAACAACGGCCAAATGGAAGATTTGGATGCCAAATTTTTTTTTTCCTTCAATTTGATGCAAAAAAAGCCACAAAAGTGGCTGGAAATCTTCGATAGGGTATAGTAACCCCCCAAACAGTTTCCCTAAACATTGGAACAAAAAAAAAACCATTTTGCCCCTCCTCGAGGGGCAAAATCGAAATTTTTTTTCGTGGAAACAGATGCGGGCAAGATGCTGTCTGATGCGGCCTGATGCAGCGCATATGCGGCCGCATCTGTCAAAAGCGCATATGCGCCTGAACGGGATGCGGATGCGAGCGCATCCCGCATGATGCGGCCGCATATGCGGCGATGCGGCCGCATATGCGGCGATGCGGCCGCATTTTAAAACACTGTGTGCACTTCGTCTGACTTGGTTGGACTGAACCATGAACTTTGATCCCGAGTTCTAACTTTGTTCTGGAGATCCCATCCAACTTCACCTTGATAGGCCAAGTTGACTGAGTTTTAAAATATTTTGTGCTATAGTAGGCTGCCAACTTAGAGATTGTTGCAAAAATCATGTGTAAGACATGATGATCCTGCCATTGCCTCTATTTATTTTCATGTTGTTTTGCTTCATTGAGTTGGCTGCCCATGCATGTATATTTTCCCTGAACCAATGAAAATTTTGTAGCTGGTACGTGTTAGGTAATCTATGTAGATGAACTGGCATAGACTGATCTAGCAATCCTGATAAAAGTAAAATTTTCTTCAACAACTAAGAAGCAAATTTGCTGAAGGCTTTAGGTAAAGTGCAATGTTCTATAATATTTCCAAAATTGATCCAATATACTTTAACAATAGACCAGTTAATCTTTAGTTTCCTGACATTGTGATTGCTAGTGACCAGCACTATCCCTCTTGCTGATGCCCTTGTTTAAGACAAACTTTAGTGGTTATGGTAGTCCTGTAATTAGTGACTATGGGAGTTCTTTAATATGACAAACTCCATCTCTATTGTTCTCTCCAAACCTAGTGGAAAACCAATCACATCTCTCAGTTACCTTCCACTGTGATGCCAGGTAAGTGAGAATTGAACTGTCGCTTGCAATATATAACCCAGTTATTCTTAGGCTCTTTGCTAAGCAGCTGCTATGCTGTTCTCTCTCCCCCTTGGGAGCTGCAAGGTTCTAAAGTAGCAAGTTCTTTATTTGACGTAAAACTTTTCCATCTCACTTGATTTTTATCAACACAAATGTTTTGTGCAAAAATTTGAATTAAGATGCAGCTAAAAGACTCCTAAAAGCCATAATAGAAATGCTTCTACAATATTTCAATGCCAATAAATTGCTGTAACAACCTATTAAATGCACTTGTCAGGATAAGCAAGGATCATGGTTCCTAAGGACATTTGATCTTCTTTTGTCAGAAAGTACGTGTGATATATGTGAGGCCTACACTCGTTTGAAGCTTAAACTTTGAGGGCTGAAGCATCATGTCTTGATATTGTTCCTGTTAGCTTGTTGGGTACATGCCATTGAGACGTACAAAATATCATTATAGTTTAGTTTGCCATTTACTTGCTGATTGCTTGCTGACTGTCAAATACGAGCACAAAATTTCCAGTTGTACAAGTTGATTGCTATCGTTTTCTGTTAGCAATAGGATGCCTTCTCGTTGGTTTTGATAAGTGCATTTAGCCTAGTTGCATTTTGTGAGCCTTAATGTGTGCATTCTGAGCGAATTGTTCTTATTTCAGGTACTTTCAGGCATGCTTTCAGCCATTCCATTTGCTTTTTGTTCTGTTGAATCTGAAAGAGGCCTTCCAGTTAGAGCATCTCCTGATTATGGCAACTCATCAACTCAAAGAGATGCCATTACTAATGGAAATGACAGGGACAGATCAAAATCTGAAAATTTTTTTGCAATCTCCATTTTCAAGGATACAAGTTTTCTAGTTGATTTTATTCTTGAGCTGAGCTCAATAAATGTAGTTCTTGAGAACAGTTGGATCCATCTTTTGCATACTGATATTACTAAAGGTGGTTATGCTTCAAGTAGTTCTCCTTTGAGTGGCGCAATACACGGCATTCTCAGTGCACCGGAGCTTGGGCTTGGATTATCTGTTCAGAAGTCCTGCTTACACTTATCTTTCGAAGAACTAGGTCCGTCTCACATGCTCTTTGATGTATCTGGAATTCAAGCTGCGATTCTCAGATGTCAAAGCATTTCTGAGGCGGAAGGGAGAGTACTGCATCTTCAATCTGCTGATATCATATATGATTTCTCCATATCTGACTTTAATTTCTCTGTGGATACTTGGCCTGATATTTGTGTTTCATCTCCTGAAATGATAAATAGTACAGATGGCAATTCTAGTATCAGCTGGAAAGATTGGTACAACTTCAGGGATTCTGCCACTATAACTCCTGATTCACCTTGTTGGTTGCTGTTAAATGCTACACTTGGTGAGAGTATCTTGCTAGATCATTCCTTGAAGAATTCTATTAAAATCTCATCCCAGGAAGCGTCATCTTGGAATAAGCTTCAAGTCTTACTATCTGTTGGGCGAGAATTTCAGTCGTTATCATGTGATATTGAGGTTCTCCCCTTGCATATAATTACTATGCTTCAGTGGATACGTGCTATCAGGGTAGATTATCCATGTTGCAATATTGCATGCATGCAGATGTCAATCCATTTTTTAATGTATCGATCACCATTTTTCCTTCATGATGATTGCTCTTCTTCTCTGTTTTCTAACACCCCATGCCACTTTTAGGCTGGATTTTTTCTTTTTTTGTTCTGCAAGATACTGCTTTACTATATTTTAGTCTGATTATAGAGTGATGTGTGTTATCCAAGAAGTTCAATACACAATTGAGGAAATTCTGAATGCCTGGGCATATCCACAGATACTGGAACTCATGTATGACATTGGTATGTTTGGATGAAGTTGCTTGGATCTGAACTACAGTATTATACTTCAAATGGGTGATTCACATGAGCATGTTAGGTTCACATTGTCAGTTATGTCTTGAGGTTTGAAGATATAAAATATGCTTGTTGAAAAGGAGTATGATTCATTAACTCCAAATTCTCAATAATTTCCAAATGTAATTATTATACTTAAAATTCCACAATTAAAGTTATACAACTGAATGAAACAATAAATTAGAGCCTATCTCGTGAATTTTAAAATAAAATTCTCTCTTAAGAAATATATATATATATATATATATATATATATATATATATATA